GCTGAAGGCAAATCTAGAAACTTAGAAACACTTGAAGCTAAAAAAGCAAGTACATGGCTGTTGTTATGGAAGCACAGCCATAGGCCCAGCTCTGGGTGTGCGAATAGTCTATGAACTATGGGCCCAGTCTGGTTCAGAAGAGCCAGTTGGGTTCACAAATAGATGAACTATGGGCCCAGTCTGGTTCAGAGCCAGTTGGGTTCACAAATAGCACAGTTTGTTGAGTGCAACATCTGAGGTTCTTTTGGATTGTGGGTGATCATGCATTAACTGCACAGTAGCTCTGCAGAGCACGAGCAGTATGATTACAATCACAAGCTTGATAACCTGGGTCAACACTGAGCACAGCTGAGGATGCAAGACTTGTGTAAAGGTGTCTCTTCAAGGAGGACAAACCCATTGATCTGTCCCTGCAATTTCATGTTGGATTCTCATCCCCCAGTTAGATAGGAAGTTGGGGTACATTTTATACCTTATTAACCACTATCATGCAAAGTGCTGTGGGTGGGACGGTGGTCAAACCTTCCATTCCTGGTCGTGTTGCACTGAATATTTCTTGGTGGGAAAAGTACTTGGTTTTTGCAGTACTTGGTTTTTTCAGGTAGAAGAATGAGGCAGTGCAGCTTCCACCTCACTCCACTCTGCTCCCTGATGCCATGGCAACCCAAACCACAAGATCTCCATCTGATTGCCGTGTTTACACCATGAACCCTCTCACATACTGAGCTTTGCATTTTCTTCACTGGTTTATGCTTCCAGCAGTGGCAATCTTGGCAGTGCTTCTGGTCTTGTGTCGTGGTTTAACCCCAGCAGCAGCCAAGAACCACACAGCCTCTCTCTCACTCCCCCACCAACGGGATGGGGGAGCGAATTAGAAGGGTAGAAGCTACAAAAACTCACGGGTTGAGATAAAGACAGTTTAATAGAGAAAGCAAAAGCTGCACACACAAGCAAAGCAAAACAAGGAATTAATTCACTGCTTCCCGAAGACAGGAGGTGTTCAGCCATCTCCAGGAGAGCAGGGCCCATCACGCGTAACCGTTCCTTGGGCAGACAAACGCCATCACTCCAGATGTCCCCCCCTTCCTCCTTCTCCCTCCCACCTTATATACTGAGCATGATGTCCTATGGTATGGAATATCCCTTTGGTCAGTTTGGGTCCCCTGTCCCAGCTGTGTCTCCTCCCAATCTCCCATGCATCCCCAACTTCCTTGCCAGTGTGGCAGTACGGAAAGCAGCAAAGGCCTTGACTCTGTGTAAACTCTGCTCAGCAACAGCAAAAACATCTCTGCATTATCAACTCTGTGTTCAGCACAAAACCCAAACATAGTCTCATATTAGCCTCTATGAAGAAAGTTAACTCTTCTCCAGCTCAAACCAGCACATCTTGGTTTTATTTTCAATATTCTCTCAATCCATTTAATTATTTTTTTTTTTTGCAGGTACATTGATAACTTCATCCTGCTGGAAGCTGTCCCAGTGCAAGGTGAATGACATTGCTGAGTCCTTCCATTTGGATAATTTTGATTTCTTTTGCTGCCAGTATGAGCTGTGCAATGAGGGCACAATTACTGGGGTTAACAAAGCAGCCCTTGGCATTGCCTCTGTAGTGACCATGTTGTGGATGCTCCTGTAACAACCCTGATTTGTATGCTGTACCTTCATGCTGAAATTAAACAAACCCATTAACTCTTTTCTATGTTGTACTTCTCACATTTTCAGTTCTTAACCGTGGGCAGAAACATTATCTTTGACTTTTGAATACTTTTTCCCAAGTTCCTGTCTGTTAAATCACTGTCTCCATTCATGGGAAGATGTATGTTGTTGCCAGTTATTTGTGTGTTTTGGTCTGTCCCCATATCCATGGGGAAAATAAGTTGGTATGAAGTAATGTTACCTTGTGGAGAACCTGGACAAATCCAGTGGGTGATGTGAAAGACAAGGAACGCTGTAGCTTTTCTGCTGGAAACTATCATTTTTTACCATCCCATAAACTGTAATTACTTTTGGTTGGCATTTCTTTGGTTTTTGATTTGTTTTTCTTGGAATGCTTCCTTGTCAGATGCTAAGCAGTGGATTTGCCCTCCACACAAGAGTTGGATTATTAGCAGACTTTGTGATGAGTATAGAAACAGTTTCAAGTGATGTAGACTCTCTGTTCCCATCACTCTAACTTGTTTTTTTTTTTACAAGCCAATGATACAACCTTGTCAAGTATTTTTATTCTGGGAGAAAACATCTACATTTCATAAGCCAAAACCAAAGTAATGTTGTGAGTGAGAAACACTTTTCCTTTTTTTTGGTATTTCTGTGAGCATGTAGACATCATGTGCTAACTTCTTTTTTTATTTTCCTTGCACTTTATCCATGCCTAGGACTTTAACTAAGCATGTGCTTTGCACTGAATATTTATTGGTATACTGAAAACTGGTTATAAAACTCTTGGGCATGGAAATGACATGTCTTTTTGACTTTCCCACCTGATTAGCTTTTGGGTTATGTTGAAAACACTAATGTGTAAACTTAACCCTTCAAGCTTCTACTTAGGAGTATTAAAATCTTGTGGCACTTTATTTTTTGAGTTTGACGCCACTTTATAAAGGTCAATGCACAATATATGTGTATCTATATAGCATGAATAAAAAATGCTCAATCTGTACGTACAAGGTGTGGAGCTGAAATACTCTGTACATTGCTCTGGCTCTGCAGTGGAGACAAATCTTTGGGGACCCTCTCAGTCAGGTGTGATGCCAAATTCTCCTTTTTCTCTTCTGGAGCTCTTGGCATGTCTCTGCCAGAGTTGTGATCCATTGCCAATGGCATATCCTGCTCCTGAGGCCCTTTGTGCTCTGCAGGGTTCCAGTGACACCAGTTCACCCAGTCACAACGCGGGTATTATTCCAAATCCATGATGTATTCCGCAATGTATCTTTTGGTTAAGCTTGTCATAGCTATGGAGGTATCCTGGGATCTGTCTGATTGCTCAAAATATGGATGTCACGCTGACTTTTATTAATAAAAATGCCAAAAAAAGAAAATGTGAGGTGTGTGGTGATTTACTGGCGCAGAATTTACAGCTCTAGTTGTTTCCATGTGAGACATGGAGGTTGTGAGGTGCATCCACACTGCCCATCCAGAGACTCACTAAGCTGCAAAGAGACTTCTCTCCAACCTTCCTATTATTTCCCATCCTGTTAGCAAAAACAGGCACTAGAAGACAGTGATGTCTGTCTGCACAGTGACTTCTTCCACTGCAGCTCCACCACTTGTCAGACTCAGAATCGTTTGGGGTGGCAAAGTGCTATTAAAGCACTGACACAATAGACAGTTGGGGGAAGGTTTGTAGCAGAGAGGTATTTTTTGTTGGACAAGCTGATAGATTCCTTATGCTTAAATCCTTGTGAGTGCAGCATTGTTGTCTCTGCTACATTGTCGATCTCTCTTATTTGATGGTGGCACTTTTAAACTTGTTTTATTGCAATATGGTCTGCATGTATAGAATAGTCTGCGTTTTAATAACTGGAAAAAGCTCTGTATTTTGTCTGGTGATAGTTTGGTCATTTTTAGTAATTGTTTTTGTGATAGCCTTGAACACTTTTTGTCTAATCTATCATGTTTCTTCTTCCTTTCTAGCAGCAGCTTGAGCAACAAGTCCTTGGGGTTTGAGCTCTTGAAGGCACTTCTTTTGTAAACATAGGAGGAATGTTGTTTAATTCTTGTGAGATTGGCATCTTCTGAGCCTGCATGGGCTTCCTGATGAGCTCTCTCCTGCAGAAAGGGCTGTTGAGCAGTGACTGCTGGTGAATTTTGGCACTTGTCCCACTGCTGCTGTGTTATGTCCAGATTTGATGGCCAGTGCTTAAAGACAGGTTACCAGAGCCGTCAAAACCTTAGGTGGGATACAATTCCATTGAGTGATGGTAAGACAGTCAATCTAGTACAGGATGCTGCTGATCAGTTCTGCAGACAAGGATCACATCAGTGCAGATTATTGTGTTAGGTTTGCATACAGCCCTTTGCTGTACTCTCCAGTGTGTCCACATCCCTCTTGTACTGGGGAGCCCAGAACTGGACCAGTACCCAAGGCCCAGAGCAGAGCAGATGGGATGGGTCCTCTCTTTGTCCTGCTGGGAATCCCTGATGCTGCCCAGGAAATCATTCCCCTTCATTGCAAGGGCACGGCATAGGCCCATGTTGGACTCAAGATCCACCAGGACCCCCAAGTCCTCTGCAAAGCTGCTTTCCAGCTGGTCAGCCCCCAGCATGTACTGCAGGCTCCAGAGATCCAGTCGTCCCTTTCCCAAAGGAGGGGAAAGCCAGCAGGATGTAAACCAGCCTCTGGCCTTACGTTAAGGAAACAAACCAGCAACCTGAACAGTTGATTTTGAGAGGAAAAAATGATCAAAACTCCTGAAAAATCCATTTTATCAAAGGCTACAGTGATCTGGCACATGGGCAGCACTGAGATTGCTGAGCAGCAGTCACTGAAAATCACTAACTGAAGAAGAACAGCAAAATTAATTGGTTGCAGAATGCATAAAATGAAACTATGAGTGGAGGTGCCTTTAGTGCACTTCAAATTCCTTAGTGTTGATGGAACTGAAATGAGGGTACAATTTTCCAAGTCCTGACAGCTTGTGTGAGCATCAAACCCTCTACAAATGTTTCACTGCCAGGTAGTGCTGTGAAAAAAAGTGAAAAAGGCTTATTTATCTGTACTGGGTTTATTCAATGTATTTTCAAATTGCTCCACACTGGTTTTACTGAAATGTCTGAGGTGCCAAGTGCTTTCCCAGACAGAGCTCAGAGTCAGCCCTGTGAACACAGGTTTAATGTCAATATTGCTGATCCTCCAAGGCAGCAGCACTGGTGCACTGGCAACCAAACACGCCTGAGGTGCAGAGTGCTGGAGGACGGCAAATCCAGGATTATGTCTTGTCACATTTTGTCACACTAACAGCAGTGTTGGGGCCTGGCTAGCAGAGGAGCTGTAACTTGAGCAATGGTTACAGGAATGCTTAAGTAATTAAAAACAAGACACACAAAATAGGTCATGCTGACCTTGTTTCTATCTTCATGCATTCCTGTGTCTTGAATCCAACACCTTATAATGGTCTTGTTCTCTCCTGCTGCCAGGGTTTTTAGGTTTAGTTTTAGTTTTACTGCCTTTTAGATAAGTCATCTGGCTGACAAGCTGGGAATAGCGCTGTTGTCTAGGTTCTCATGGACACTGTGCAGCTCTTGTCATCAGTTCCCCAGGATGGGAGAGAAGGATGCAGCTTAAACTTGTAACCTATCATAAGTAAGAACTGCAGCATTGACAGGTTGAGCAACCAATCCAAAGTTGTGTGATCGGTGCGTAGCTGCATGTATGGGAGACATTTTACTAGAAATACTGTTAGGTGCCCTAAATAAAGTTGACTATCAGAGCATCATATTGGTGTGCTGCAGTCTGTCCCTCACAAGGACCCCAACACAGCAGGCGGAATCATTGTATCTTTTCTTTTGGATACAGATGATGTGTTGTCTCTCCTTCTAACACTGTGTTGTGCGACAACTTCGAACCCATTCAGTGCTGCTCCGTGGAGCAGTTTTTGTTCCTGGCCAGTAACAACAAGCTGTAACAGCACTGAGACAGAACAGGAGCTGTGACTGCATGTGTGACACAGCCAGATCACAGCTGCACTGTTGGAATTGGGTGTCACTGCCCGGCCAGGACCATGTCCTGCCTCTGGATGTGGAAAATCAGTTTTCCATTGTTACAGTACCAGTTCAAGGTGATTCGGAAATGGTGCAATTATTTTTGTGTTGGGCGCATGGAGGAATTCTCCTGGAGCAGCCAACACTGCTTTACCTCTGTGCATGACACTCTAGATCTGTGGTCTTGATTTGTGAGTGTGAAATCTCATGGTGGTCACCCCTAAATGAATGGGGTAACCTGGGAAAACAACCACAGGTGTCTGCAGAGGGTCGACCCTGCTGGATGACGGCAGGGGCCCGCCAAGGGGTTTCTATAAATCCCCTCCTCGGCTGGACTGGGCACAGCTGCACCCTGGCAGCTTCCCATGCCCCGAGCGGGACGCGGATCCATCCCTGCGCAAAGCGGAGGCTGCTGACCAACGTGGGCCTGTTTGCCCTGCTCGAGCAGGGCCACCTGCGGCCCAGGGCCACAGCCAGGGCTTTGTGCAGAGAGGCTGTCGCAAGGGGAGTGATGCACTTCATTGACATGACAGAACTAACTACAGACTATTAATAGACGAACAACTAAACTAACATTTAGGCAACTAAACTAACAACATTTAGTCAGCTGTGGGTCCGGCGGTGGGCTGAACAAAACGCCGGCCCCGCACCCAGGGATGCTGGCAGATCTCTTCCAGTGATGGCCTGTCCTGGGGGCCCTTGGACAGACACCACCGGATCAGGGATTGGCATTCTGGGGAGAGAAAGCAGAAAGC